TAACTCTCAAGTGTCCCTTAACTTCTAAAGCTCTAAAATAAATATAATAATTCAACAATTAATCAATATATATATATATATATATATATATATCATATAATTTTATATAATATCAGAAACAAAATTATATGCTTCTAAATTAATTACATAATATGCATTTTTTATATAAATTATACAATATATATTTTAACAGTAAAATATTTGTATTTTTTATTATGTCTTTTATACTTATGTGTTTTAAAATAATAAAATAAAATTGGGCATATATTTTTGCCTTTTCAATTTTTTTCTTAAATAAAATAGTGATAAAAATAATATAGTATTTTATGTGTAAGAATAACATTTTATTATGACGTAACAATGAATATTGCAAGAAGAAGGAAACTAAAGGGGATGAGGAATGTCTTTGTTTTGTATGTATCATATATAATTACATGAATCTTGTATATCCCTCTCTCTCCTTCTATAATTATTTTCAGAATTTATGAGAAATTATCAAAGTAATAAATTAATATGATGGAGGAAAAGGCATTATTATCGAGTTAAAAAGGGTATGCATGAGATGAGAAGGCATGGGAGAAAGAAGAGTCACGTGTGGAGAGTATACATAAATATTATTGTTGTCATGTTGACTTTTCCCTCTGCCTGAAGCCGCCGCAATCCAAGTAAGCAACTTGTATCCCGTGTGCATGCAAATTGCAAAAGAAAAAAACAAATGAGATTTTTTTTTTTTTTTTACTTCTTCCAAATGTGACATGAGAGGATTAGTTTTGGAGCGGGTGTGGCATATCTCATCTCGTAAATTTTTCTTAAAATATTATATGAATTAAGGGATGTATTGAGTTAATATTTTAATTGTTATATAAAAATTGTAATATTTAATTAAAAAAATTTATAATAAAGATAAGTCTTGAGTATTTAATCAAGACTATGGTAAATTTCTTTTAAAGAATCTATCAAAATTTGATGATATTTAGTTGAAACTTTTATCTATTTACAAAAAATTATATGATATTGAAAAAATATACAAATTAGGATTTTAGTTTAGTATATTTATTATATGTAATTAAAATTTATAATCAATTATGCATATAAATAAATATTATATTTAAATATATAAATTATATTTAAAATTAGTATACATAAATATTTTTAAAT